AATGTTCCAGGAGGCCCCCAAATGGCATGAACAATAAGATTAGCAGATAAAATTTAAAGATAGCTATTACAAATAAATGTTGTTCCAGAATTAAAAAGTAACCATGAATACAATGAAGAAACCAATGAGCAGAAACCCTGTTATGGTTTGGATATGAAGTACCCCCCAAAAAGGCTCATGTATGAGGGCTAAGCCTGATGCAAACAAAATTCAGAGGTGGGGCTTTTGGGCAGTGATTGGATCATGAGGGCTCTGCATTCATCAATGGTTTGATCAATTGATGGATTCAATATTTGAATAGATTATTTGAAGGCAGTGGATCTACTTGGAGGAAATAGGTCACTGAGGCTTGTTCTTGAAAGGTATTTTGGGACCCTAGTCCCTTCCTCTGTCCTCTCTCTGCTTCTTGGCCACCATGAGGTGAGAAGCTTCTGCTACACACTCTTGCTGCCATGATGTCCTGGCTTGCCTCAGACCCAAAGCAATTGATGCCTATGACCAATGGACTGAAACCTGTGAAACCATGAACCAAAATAAATCTTACTCTGTTAAACTGTTTCCCTCAGGTATTTGTAACAGCAAAGAAAAATCTAACACATGTCCCAATGGAAAAAAAATGACAATTGTAATGAAAATACAAATGGAAGCTCTAGAACTGAAACACCAAAGAGCACATATGGAACTCTGTGGTAGACCCACAGGTATGCGGCCAATTTTTTTTTTACCAGTACCCCAAATAGAATCAGAGTCAAAAGGAAAGTCTTTTCAAATGCATCTTGAACCCACATTTCATCAAAGATACATAAATTACTTTAGGTAGATCCTAATACCTATGTGCAAAAGCTAAAACTGCAGAGGTACTAGAATAAAACATAAAGAACAATGTCTTTTGCAAATGTGGACCAAGTAAGGATTTCTTAGGTAGGATCCAGAAAATGGTCATTCTAAAAGAAAACAAATAATAAAAGGACTTCATGATAAGTAGACCTATGTACTTATGAGCAGACACCATTAAGAACATGCATAGGAAAGATACAACTGTTAGAAAATGTAGTACACTGTGTGCAGAGTATTCTAACAACTCATACAACTCAAGAATAAAAAGAGACCAGGATCCCAGTTGAAAACTGGGCAAGAGACTTGAACAGGCACTTCATTGAGGAAGAAAGTCAGATAGTTAATAAGCATATGAAAAAATACTCTATATTATTAACCATCAAAAAATGCAAGTTAATGCTAAATGAGATGCCACGATGCGTCATCTGACAGAGTAGCTAAAAATTCAAAGCTGAAAACACAAGAGTTTTTGGAGAACCATGAGAAAGAGGCACTGTTTTCATGAGAGTATAAATTATCACAACAGCTTTTGGAAATCTGTGTAAAGTTTCTTATACATTTACTCCTACTCTTGGCTATTTACCTAGGAGGAAGGAAAACAAATGTCTACAGAGACTCATGCAACAATATTCATATTGGGTTTAATCACACAGCAATAACGATAACATATAATAATAGGAACCTACATTTCCACCTCCTGCATGGTAGGAAACAAATGACTAAATAGTAGACCCCAGTTGTAGGGTTTACAACTCGGGAGCCACCAAAAGTCTCATGCCTATTTTGTGGAGAAGCAACTTGTGCCTTGCTCTGCCTTCTTCCAGCTCTCATGTTTGATTCCTTAAAGAAATGAAAATGGGCCAGGTTAAGTGGCTCAAATCTGCAATCCTAGCTACTTGGGAGGCAGAGATTGTGAGAATTACAGTTCAAAGCTAGCTTGGGCACAAAGTTTATGAGATCCCCATCTCAACCAACAAAAGCTGGATGTGGTGAAACAGGATAATCATGGTTCAAGCCAGCCTGGGCATATATGCAAGACCCTAACTCAAAAATAAAACAAAAAGGGCAGGAGGTGTGGCTCAAGGGGTAAAGAGCCTGCCTAGCAAGTGTGAGGCCCTGAGTTCCAACCCAGTAACACCAAAAAGAGACAAAAAAGAAAACTACACCAATTATGCAATACATGCAGCCACACAAATTCACAATCTCTCCCTCTCTCTTACACACCCACAAATTCTCTATTCCCACAGATTCACTCACAATCACAAACTCGTGTACATTCGCACATTCACTCTCATACACATCCATTCATGTATACATCAAAACACACACTCACATACATTCACTGACATAGTGAAACACAGTCTGAAACCACTAACACACATACCCATTTATACAAGTTAACATTCGGGAATACACACTCACACCAACATACACATTCACAGTTGAAAGCATACTCACTCTCAAACACACATTTGTTAACATGCACAAACTCACACACCATCTCACACACTTGCTCACAGTTATACACGTTTAGACATGTACTGAGAAGCTTCCTCACAATACACTCAATAGCACATCACACATATTGACACACGTTCCTATTCAAACTAATATAACACATACTAACACTCATGCACAATCTTTTCTTTTTTGGGGGGGGTGGGACTGGGGTTTAAACTCATGGCTTTGCACTTGCAAAGCAAGCACTCTAGTCAAGGCACAATCTTAATTCACATGTTCACATACATACTCGCTCACCATCTGACACACATTCATACGCATTGGACTGGCTCAATGATCTGGGTTTGATGCCTTGACTTTTTCCAGCACTGCAAGTGAACATGGGCCATGTGGTTAAGCCTGATACCATTCTTTAATATCATGTCCACTTATTTCTGAAGGGCTCACTGAAAGTCTTAGGAACACAACAGTCATCACCTGCACCCACCAACATGTTGTCAAATGGCAAAATCCTGCTTGCCCAGCTGGGTTGCTTCACCCAGATCCGTAAACTACTAACCCTGGGTTGTGACCACCTTTGCAGTTAGGACACTCCACAACCATTCATGCATGCTGACCTACCTATTCCTCAATATTAACCCAGCAACCACTGGCCCTTCCCCTTGGCTCAATCCTACTGAAGCAGAGGCGAGACTCAGCAGGAACATTCATGAAATTTATTGAATAGAAACATTTGTTGAAACCATGGAAGAGAAGGGGATGACATCACAGACAAGAACTCCCCACGACCACCTGAGACCACAGGTCCTGGGCTCCGCCCTCCTCCTGGGGCCCCTGACCAGGTTCCTCACTTGCCCCTCACACTGGGGCCCTCCTGCCATGTTCTCCTTTCCTGAGGGCCCCAGATCTGCCTCTTGCCAGGACCATAACCTCTGGCAATGTCCACTCACTTCAGAGAAGAGCCCTTCCCAGGGACAAACTGCTATGGGGTGGCCCTTCCCTATGGCTGGCACAGGACAGACACAGGACACTGGGAAGCACAACAGGGAACACGCCATCAAGCCAAAGAAACTGAATCACAGGTAACAACAAGAGTGGAATGTCAAAACACAGTCCCCAGCACTCTCCCATCCCTGATCCAGCTCTTCCAGGCCGAGGTCAAAGTCACAGTCACAGCGTGAGCATCAGGCACTCCCTCGTCGTCCACCCTTTTTCTGGGCTCCTGGGACTGACTGGGTTGGGGGCCTCTGGGAAAGCACTGCTCAGAGAAGAACACACACATGTCCACGAGAACAAGCGGCAGGCAGCTGGCCTTTATCTACACCGAGAAAGCAGAGGTTGAGCTCAAGACCCTGGACAGGAGCAAGCAGAGCCTTGGCTGGCACGGAAGCTCACAGCACGTGCCCGGGTGTGGAGGTGTCTGACCGGGTGGGCCAGGACCTCCGCCAGGGTTGACACACACACTCACAGCTTTGCACAAGAACATTGGCTCGTGTGGGGGTAGCTACTTGCTTGACAGCCGGGTCACTTAAGGGGCTTACAGATAAGGGTGGGCTTCCAAGGACAGGGGAGCAGCCTGCCCGGGGATGGTGGATGGGATGGGGGTGGGGTCCCTTTGTAGGGATAGCCAGGCAACTGGCACCCTTCAGACAGCTTCTTTGGCCATATTGTCATCAGGCATCCTCTTCTAGGCTGGAGTTGGGCCTTCAGTAGGTCTTCCAGGTCTACAGCCTGAGTCTGCATGGTTCGAGCTGACCTTGGCCTTGGTAGCTGCTGAATTGCAGTTCACCAAGCCAGGCCGAGGTTCTCCCAGCTCACTCTCTCCAGTTCTTCAGCCACCCTACAAAAACAAAACAGAACAAAACCACCCCCACCAAGGCCTCCCTCCTCCTCCTCCTGCTCTTCCACCTGTTCCTTTTGAACAAAACTGCTCTATACACCCACTCACTCCCAAGCTAGCTTGGAGGAGACTGGCCCAGCAGGAACTCCATGCCCCTGCCTGGGGTCTCCTCAGTCTTTTTGCCCACATAGCCCTGTCAGGCTGCAGGGGTAGAAAGTGCCTCTGGGATGGCTCTGGGCTCCCAGAGCCTTTGGATCCAGGGACCCAACCTTTACTCACGAAGGGGCTCGTGGGTGCTGCATTCCTGGGGCTCTCCTAAAGCTGTATGGATGATTCTAAGGACGGGTTGGACCCTGTGGAGTCCCCTCTTGGGCATTCTCTCTCTGTCTCGCAGCATTGGCTCCCAGGCACTGGCTCTTGACTGGGGAAGCCCTGAGGCAGGCTCTTCCATGCCCCATGTGGCTTCAGGGCCAGTTGGCATCCTCAGTTCAGAGCCCCCAGGGTAAGCATTTGGAAGTGGCCAAATGACTGTGCTGACACCCAGTCCAGAGCCCCCAGCTTCACCATCTTCTGCTTCTGCTCTGCTGAAGTCCCCACTTGAGTTTCGGGCACATTGTGGGCTGGGTGCACCAGCTTCCTGCTTTATTTTCTGGCACTTCCTGGGGGCCCTCACTGAGCTGGGTGGAGCTTGGTCTTGGTTGGTGTAGTCCTTCCTAGATATTTTAGGGTGAGGGGGCCTGGCCTGGGCCTGGCTGGCATGCCTTTCTCGCTTACTCAGGTCTGCTGTTATTTGCCAGGGCTGCCCCCTCCCTTTCTTCCAAAATCTCTTTTGTTTTCTTGGCTTGTGATAAGAATTGTTGCCATGTTCTCCAGAGCCTACTTGGCCTTGGGCTTGGGATGGCTCTTGTCCCAAGCCCGGCTCCCGTTTCCCAACCCAATTGCAGCTTGCTTCTTCTGCTTCACCAAGGGCAGGTTGGAGGGATTGAAGCACTGTACCCTGATGTGGCCCTCTTCCCCACAACTATAGCAGAATGTGTGGTGTTTCTGTCTTCCTGTACCTCGAGAGCCAGACCTCAGCATACCTCCCCTCCTGTGCTGACCTCTGCCCCTCCGGCGTCGTCTTCGAGAGCCTTGGGTAGGCCTGGTCTCAACCATGTTGTCACAGGCAGGGACAAGCGGTGCCCTGTCACCACTGATGGTAGATGGCCTTGGGCCTAATTCCAGTCCCTTCAAGCACTCCCTCTCTGGGCCTATCATTGTGGCCTCCCACTCCTCCTCCTCACGAAGTAGCTTCACCAGGGCCAGGAAACCAGGTGGCTTCCTTCTCTGTTTCATCAGCTTAAGCTTGTCCCGAAGTTTTTCAGTAAGGGTGGCCCCACCTAAGATTCGTTTCAGGCGAGTTTGATTCACATTCCTTCGTGATACTGCATTTTTCTCTATAGCTTTTTGGAGCAGGGGTTCCAAACGAACCACAAAGCTAGAGACTTTCTCTCCTGGCTCCTGATAGGCTTTACAAAATTTCACCTGGGTGATTTTTCTGCTTTCTACAGGTCCAAACACCTGCTGCAGGGCATCCAGGCATTCCTTCACAGTGATGGCAGCATTGTTGGCTCTAAGCACACTGACCACCTGCAGAGCTGGACCCCGCAAGCATTCCATCAGCCTACGCCTCTTTTCCACCTCAGGCACCTGCCACATCTGTAACATCTCAGTAGTGTGCTCAAGCCAGGCTTCAAAGGACAGCACCCCTGGGATGGATATGCTGTTCCCAGAAAACACCCTGAGTTCTCGGTACAAAATTTGTTCTAGCAGAGGCTGCACCATTGCCCCGAGGGTCTGGGCCCAAGTCCAGAACTCTGGGGAAATAGCCAGTCTGGGAGCAGAACAATTAGTGTAGGATCCGAGGACTCTGTTCATGTCTGACACTGTTCTCCTCTCCTCCTCTAAGAAGCTGTTCAGTCTATTGAGAAATTCGCCATCTGAGTTGCGGGGTTTGACAACCACTTCCCAGGGCCCCCCCTTTCCTGGTATTTCCCTGGGGACCAAGGCATAGTCGAAATCTTCTGCAAGCTCCAGCAGAAAGGCCTGTGCATTCTCCTCCCTCCTAAACATCCTGCCGATGATCCTGTATCTTCCCAAGTGCCTGAGAGCCTCCTGGAGAGTCTCGTCAAACTCATCCTCACTACAGTCCTCGGGGATTCCCAGGATCAGCATGGATCTCTGGGTGTTCAGATGCTCCCCCCTACACCAGTCCTGCAACAGGGTCAACGGCATGTCTCCAACTTCAGCGGATTCTAATTGGGGCGGGGAGGGGAGTGTGACCGGGACCTGTTGCACCTAAATGGGGCTCACATCCAAGACGACTGCAGCCAGCCCGGGTCTCCACAGCCTGTGAATGCGAACGGGGCGAGAGCGAGGTTAATGATCCCCGCCCCGCCCCCAATCCCCTCCCACCTCCGGCGGCGCCTCTGCGGCCAGGCCCCGACCCCCGCGGGCCCCCGTGGGTCGAGGCCCCCTCCACACACCGCCCCCCCGCACCCCCAATCCCCCGAAGCCTGCACAGTCGCTCCAGGGCGCAGCAGGGCGGCGGGGTCTCCCGGGGCTAAGCGCCCCCTCCCGGGCGGGGTCTGGTACCTTCTTCTGGGCCAGAGTCCTTCCTGGTCCGGGTCCCAGCGGCAAGGGTTCGGGGCTGGGCAGGGCGGCGGCGGTGGCAGGGTCGGGCGCCCGTCGCTTCCCCGCTCTGTCTCGCTCACGCTACGTCTCGCTCTCGCTCTCGCTCTGGCTCTCCGGTTCCGGCACGTGGGCCAGTGCGCCGGCGCCTGCTCGCCACCGCTCTCTGCAGTGCGGACTCGGGGCGGGGTGCGGTGGCGGTGGAGCGCGGACCCTCCGCGTCGCCCCGGAGACCGCCGGGCCATTGGCGCGCGCTGGTCACGCGGCTGGGCTGTTGCTGCCGCCGCGGGGACCCGGGGGCCGCGGGTGACGTCACCTGCTCCTCTCCCCGCCCCCGCCCCCGGCCCTAGCACAGGTGACACCCCCCGACCCCCACCCTGCCCCCCATAGCCCTGGATCTGGGAGTCAGTGGCCCGAGTCCCCAGGACTGACTTTGACTTTCCCCACCTGGCCCTCCATCCCGGGATTCTGCCCGGAACCCAGCTCCTCCTGGACGTGCCCTTGGGTTCCCAGCTTAAGGGGAGGGTGGTCTGCGCCCCGAGTCTCCAGAAAGTGGCCTGCGGTGCGCCTGCCAGCTGTGCAGCTCTGTGTTTGTTCGAGCTGGGGCTTCTGCTCCTGCCCCTCCTCTTCTGATCCCCACCCTGGACTGGGCCAGTCCCGGGGCTAGGTGAGGAACACCGGTGTCTTAGGAAGCTGCATCCATATTTAGAGCCCAACCTCTGGGGCCAGCTTTTCCTGCAAACCTAGTTAGTACTTGTGTATTTATTGGGTCCCAAGGAAGCAACTGAATGAGGGCGGGATTGACTGCCTTTTAAGCAGAGTGCCACCCCCCTACTCTGAGCTCCTGCTTGCTCTGCTAGTTCCATGGTAGCCTCCTGTGGCCAGGGCTCCAGACCCTCTCCAGCCACATAAGGTGAGGCTTTTGGTTGATGTTCAGGAGGCAATCACTCATCCAGCCAGATCTGGGAATCCACCTTGTATAGGGATGTGACACAGAACTCTCCACATGACTTCTGTCCCACTCTGGGGCTTCAGCTTTCTGCTTATTGGCCTGCTACTTGTCGAGGATCAACAAGCATTGACTCCTCTGGACGTTTCCCTGGTCAGACTGGATTCTTAGTATGGCTTCATGGCACTCACTTCATTTACTGCTCACCAGAATCCTGTTGGTAGGTGTTAACATTGTCCTTATTTGATTGCAGGTAGAGTTGAAACTAGATCCTAAATTCCTGCCCATCACTCTTTGAGTACAGTTGGGACCATTTCTCCCCTAATTGCTTTATCCTCCTTTATTTTCCAGATTCCTGTCCATTTATAGTCCTTGGAGGAGGAATACTTTTCCACACATTTACTAGTGAGAGAGCTAACTTAGCTCCACATTTGTGAATTTCCCTCCAGTCAATCATGGCAAAACTGTCTTGCTCCAAAAGTGACAATTCACCTTCCATAGCATATGGAATGGAACCTTGTCAGGGGTTCTTTAAAGGTCAAGTATGTATGTACTACTACTTGCAAAGGTGTAAGAGGTCATTCAGAATCCATGTTTCACAAAACATCCAGTTGCAAATTTCCAAATTGGCTTTTTGTGCTCCTAGAGAAGGTGATAGAATAGCAAGACAATTTGGAAGCCCGCATCCTGATCCCGGCTTTGCCACTCCAAAGGCTCAACTAGCCCCAAATCAAATCTTCATCCAACAAATTTATAGGGGCAGAAATGTAGGCTCAGAGAAGGGACACCACTGACCCAGGGTGAAATAGTGAATAAATGGCAAAGCTGTGAGATGTCCAGGGAAGATCCCAATAGTGTCAAGGCAGGGAGGCATGTCTGCTATTTCTCCAGAAAGGAGCCTGTGGAAGTCCTAGTCAGGTTTCAGAGATATGTGGATGTTCTAGACAGAAGGAAGACTGGGGAACGTCAGGATAGAGGTGAGAGATCTGATTATGTTCAGTTTCAAAGAGTTTTAAAAACTTTGATAATTGAAGTTAATCATTGACCCTGAAGTCAGTAGAAATGTTTTATTTGCTTTTATGTCCCCAACACCTTGTATGGCAGGTAGCACAAAGGTGCATTTAGAGAATGAATGGATAAACATCACTGGTGAAGTGAAAAGTGGGAAGGAGGCAACCTCCACTGGGATGGTCTTTCCGTGCTTTAGACCAGTAGTGAGTAACAGTGTCACTCAGAGAACAGATCCTGTACCCCACCTCTAGACAGTTTGATCTGCTGAGTCTCAGATACACATGGGAATTTTTCTACAAGGGTGTCTGGTAATTCAAAAAAATATGTTCCACAATATTTAACATACAAAAATGATATAAAGAAAAGTGCAACTAATAGTTTATATACAGTAATACCTGGGTTAAGACCTAAAAGATTGCTAGTGAGGTTGCCCCCCCTTACATCTTCCCTTCCTAATTGTCTCCAACTTTCTCCCTCACAGGAGGAAGCACAGTTCTGCATTGCATTCTCTCGTACTGAATTCACTGCAAATGAATGCATTCTTCCTTTTCATTAACCAATCATTATGCTTATGAAAGTCACCATTTTGATACATGCAAAATTGATTAATCAGTTTTCAACTCTGTATAGTATTGTATGGTATATCTGTGTACTATGATTTATTTACCAACTTCCCCCATTGACAGATGTTTAAGTAGTTTCTGGTTTTTACCTACCACAAACAAAAGCACAAGATCCTGTCTGAAAAATAACCTAAAGTAAAAAGGACTGGGGATGTGGCTTAAGTGATGAGCACCTGCCTACCAAGCACAAGCTCTGAGTTCAAACCCCAGTACTGCCAAAAAAAACAAAGAAGGGGGAAATTTGAAACTACAGACGTGCACACAGAGAGTGCCATGTGACAATAAAGGCACAAATTGGTGTGATGGGTCTATAAGCCAAAGAACACCAAAAATTGCCAGTAAAGCACCAAAATGTAGGAAAGATGCCTGAAAAGGTTCTCATCTCCCTCAGAAGAAATCAACCCTTCCAATACTGCCTCCAGAATTGCGAATGAGATATTTCTTTTGCTTTAGCCATCTAGTGTCGTACTTTGGTACAGCAGACCTAGGAAACGAAAAAATGCTGAAAGGTTTCTGAACTAGGCAATAGATGGCATAAGCATCTAATGATGAGGATTTATGAGAACTAGAAGAAAGCAAGGAAATGGTTAATGCAATTAGACAGGAATCTTCTTCTGCAGGTTAGATGGAAGTAATGATTGCTTACTACCTGTTGCCTTTTCATGTGTCTCATTGTGCTCTGGATAAAACATTTTACACTGTTCCTGAACATCAGAGTACAGAGCCCCAAGAGGAAATGCTGTGCTGGATCTTAGGATGATCCAGCACAAAGTCACAATTATCAATTTGTGAAAATCATAAAATTCCCATACAAACAGCTCGTGATTATGTGCAGAATGAAGAGCAGTTCAAAGATTTGAAGATCTCATCATTTGGGGGAAAGAAATGATGACAAATTACTATTAGATTCAAAACTGACTTATACCCTATGAGACAATAAGACCATGGCACTTTTTTCCATTCAAGAAAAAATTATTAAAAAAAAAAGAAAAATTATACCTGGATTATACTCCAGTGAATTTTTATTCAATCAAAATTAAGTTTCTGACAATAGTCAAGTAACTCTAGGATTAGAAAAATCTCTACCCCAATATTAAAAATAGATTAATGTATAGGGGTGTGGGTCAGTGGCAAAGCCTTTTCCTAGCATGTGTGAGGCCCTGGGTTTGACATGCAGTACTGCGAAAGGTTGTGGTTTAAAAAGTCATATAGTCATCATTATTGCGTTATTTCTAATTAGTAAACATTATTTTAGAACAGTTTTAAGTTCATAGTAAAACAGTGCAAAAAAAAGTAGAGTGTTTACATGTACCTCCCATGCCCCCTCCACACATACAACCTGCCCTGCTGCTGACATCCTGCACCACAGTGGTACGTTGGTTATAAATGATTCATTGATTCATCAGTATCAAAGTCCATAATTGACACTAAGGTTCATTGTTGGTGTTGTACATTCTACATGTTTTGATTAATATATAATGGCATGTATTCTCCATTACAGTATTATACTGAATAATTTCATAGCCCTAAACATCCCCTGTGTTTTACCTGTTAATTCCTCTCCCCATTCCCTGACAACCCCTGCTCATTTTACTCTCTCCATAAATTTCCCTTTCCCTGAATATCACATAATGGGAATCACACAGTCTGTAGCCTTTTCAGATTGGCTTCTTTCACTTGGTAATAAGCATGTAAGTTTCCTCCATATTTTTCATGGCTTGATAGCTCATTTCTCTGTAGTACTGAATAATATTTCATTGTCTGAATGAACCACAGTTTATTAATCTAATCATCTATTGAAGCATATCTTGGCTTCCAAGTTTAGGCAATTGTTAGTAAAGTTGCTGTAGATATCCCTGTGAAGATTTTTGTGTAGACATAGTTTTCAGTTCACTCAGTAAATACCAAGGAGTGAGAATGCTGGATCATATGGTAAGAAACTGCCAACCTGTCTTCAAAAGTGGCTGTACCATTTCACATTCTCACCAGCAATGAATGATGAGAGTTCCTGTTGCTGTACATCCTTGTCAGCAT